CGTCCCGAAGGTGTTAAGAGTCTTATATAGAGAAGGTTCAAGAAATCTCATAGGTTAAGGATGGATACTTCCTTTCTTTTTTAACAAAACTTTTTATTTTGAGCAAAATATAGCCTAAAAGAATTCTTGCCCATGACTCTTGAAGACCCGGTTTTCTAGAAAACCAGTTTTTCAAGAACTCTACAAAATAACCAAAACATTTTTTTAATGAGACATGATTGTAGCCAGCACATTTTTTATTAAAATGAGACATCTCCCAGCTCTACAAGGCCTTTCTTTGCAAAGTTATACAATTTACAAGAAAAGCCCTAAATGTTAGCTCAAAGCTACAGAAATAAGAAGAAATTAATTTAGGGCTTGTAAATTGTATAACTTTGCAAAGAAAGGTCGTGTAAAGCTGGGAAATGTCTCATTTTAATCAGAAATGTGCGGGCTACAATTATGCCTCGTTAAAAAAGGCTTTAGGTATTTTGTAGAGTTCGGTTAGAAAACCTGGTCTTCAAAAGTCATGGGCACGAATCCTTTTAGGATATTTACTACCTCACTGAGGTCTATCGATCCAACGGGATATCTCGAAAGGTCCCTCGTAAGAAGACTCGCAATTTCATTGTACGATCCAGACAAACACTATTAGATTTTCTTTTCACTCGTACCAGAGTTGAAACAACTGATCTTGAATGACATTTTTATTTCGTTTTTGCTCATATTGTCTTACCTAATCTACTCATTTTTCATGTAAAATAAACAAAAATAAGTTGAAACTTTATCTTTTCCTTAACTTCTTCTCATCGAACAGGTACATTACTTCAATTAGGCGTGATCATGTTAAAACAGTGAATTTAGTTTATAAAAACACAGAACACAGATTCGATCTGTTTTTATTGAAAAACCTACAAGTAAAAGGTGTGACATTGAAACACTTTTGCTCATCAATAATTGCGCCAAGTATATTATACTGTGTTTCAATATGAAGGATTACATTCCAGTTTGAAAAACGAAATGTTACCATATCAGTCATCATCGTGGTATTCTGACATAAACTTTAATAATAATCTCAGTAAGATAGATTGGCTATGGAGCTCAGAGATACAACAGTCGGATGAAGATTTGGAGAAGACAGTTCGTTCATTAAGAAAAGAACTGCTAGGTGCGTATTAAGGTTTTTTTTGAGAAATATGCTTGTCTTCTTTTTCTAAGTTTTTATGTAAAAAGTTGAATTTTGATTTTAAGACTCGTTTTGTGATGAAAGAAGGTCAGTTTGAAAACGCTTTAAAAAAGTTTAGAACCTGGACAGAGTTTGAAGTATTTAGTAAAAATTAGGTTCAGTTGCATTCTTTTTTCAAAAGGTGGTAACACATAACTGGATTGAAATTACCAGTATTTTGAACATTACAGGTAACCTTAAACAGATCACTTTTTCCAGAGCACTTGTCCATATCTTGAGCGATGTCCACATCTTCGCGAAAAAACAATCGACAAATTTTGGAAGTGATCTCATTTAGAGTACTTCGCCCTATCTGACTATGTATAAGAAAAATTTTTGAAAATAGAATCGAAAAAAATTAAGAAAACTAAAACAATTGAGTTTTCCAGTCTTTCGAGCAAAAACTTAAAAGCTCATAACTTTTCAAAAAACAGGGCGGGGAAATAATCTAATTTAATTGAAGCTCAGGCTTTCTTCTACTTAAGGCTATATTTTGCTCAAAATAAAAAGTTTTGTTAAAAAAGAAAGGAAGTATCCATCCTTAACCTATGAGATTTCTTGAACCTTCTCTATATAAGACTCTTAACACCTTCGGGACGGGAAGTATGTATATGGACAAAAGTAGTGGTACTCCTGTAACTCAAGAACCATGATAGCTAGGGCCTTCTAATTTTGTGTAGTCATAGCTCTTACCGAATGCTGATCATCCACCAAGTTTAGGCCTCTTTTACTGGATGGTTCGTGAGATATAAGTGATTTATTTCTTCCCCGTAAAATATCAATAGCTCCTGATCTAAGAGAGATGAAAACTTTTTCTTTTTACGAAAATGTACCCACGACTCTACTCTATCTATGTATGATTTTTGTGAGTTGGCTGTTAGTAGTTAGTGACATATAGCTATTTTACGGGCGAGGATCGCTTTTTTTGTTGAAAATTCGAGGTTCCTTTGCGAAAAAAATGCACAACTCAGTCTTGTGTAGTTCGTGTGTGGTTCTTGAAATTCATTGAGAAAGAGTACCCACGATTGAAACATACGTAGAAGAGCATGGGTGATAAACTAAGGGTCGGTCTTTCTACTATAGAATCTGCATTCAATGTACACCACAATCATGAAAAAATAATCATGGAAATCTACAGTTCTGAAAAACATAGATGAAACTTTTATCAGAAAGATTACACACTCACCTCTAAAGAAAAGAAATAAATTGCTTATATCTTACGAACCATCTAGTAAACGAGGCCTAAACTTGGTGGGTGATCAGCATTTGGTAAGAGCTATGTCCACACAAAATTAGAAGGCCCTAGCTATCATGGTTCTTGAGTCACACGGGTGCCACTACTTTCGCCCATATATATGCTTCCCGTGTCCAAGAGGTTAATAGAAAAAAAAGCACTAATTTATTTAAAAATATGTTCAATGATTCAAGAAAATTCTCTTCAAATTTTCTGTTTAGACTGCGAAATGCGATTAATGCAATCGGGCTACATTGTTTTAAAGAAACGAAAATTTTTTATGTACATGTTTTTCTCATTATTAATCAACACAATATTTTCTCTTATCGATTTTCCGGCTATACCAATCGCATTATCATTCTTCTACTCTCTTTATTTTGTATTTACTCGAGCTGTACGTGATTGCCATATCATTTCATTATTGAAGAAAGTTCGCAGTAATCGTGTTTTTCCACTCTAAAAAAAAAGAGATGGATACCTGGGTACAACGATGACATAATCATGATAACAATCCATCCAGGCTACTTTTAATTGAACAAATAAGTGTTTAAAGAAAATCAAGTCATGCAATGTACAAACAATTGTTTAAATGGTACTAACTTTTTACATGAATGAATTTCGATAATATTTTTTATTATTTGACAAGATATTGATTTGTAAAAAAAAATTACACATTTCATATAAAAAATAATCACTTTCCATCACCAATGTCTCCAGTGATATTACCTTCGTTCGGTCCATATTCTGCAATTTGTTGATATTCGGAAATAATATCATTTAAATTTGCTTCAGCATCACTAAATTCACCTTCGTCCATACTAACAAAAAAACGAAAATATATTATACAATACATATTGTTATATTTTTATTCTCTTACCCTTCTGCAGTATACCAATGCAAGAATGCTTTTCTACGATACATCGTACAAAATTGTTGACAAATCTTTTTAAACATTTCTTGAATAACAGTGTTATTAGCTAGAATAATTGGAATACAAATATTACTAAAAAGATTCAATATTGAAAAATTGAAGTGATTTATATGGAGACTCTTTTCATGCTCAATGAATTGAAGATAAAATATATGGAGTGTTTGAATGTATAACATAAAAATTGCTTAATTTTATTAAGTATTCAATTTTGAAACAGAAGTGTTTATCATTTCACGTGATTGCTAAGTTTACTCACCTAAAAATGTGACTGACATTCGACATCTAAAGTATATAAAAATACGATAGAAATCAATAACGAATACATAATTAGATGGAAAACACTAATAGTGTTGTTGAACAATAATTGTAAAATCCTACCCTCTGGGTGGTATATCACAAACAGCCGTTTTAACATTATTTGGTATCCATTCAACAAAATATTGACTATTTCTATTTTGTACTAATACCATTTGTTCATCAATTTCTTTCATTGATAATCGACCACGAAATACAAGTGCTACAAGTTAAAAAACAAACTATTTAATATATAATTAACACATTTAGAATAATTATATTAGTCTTACCTACGGTTAAATAGCGTCCATGTCTTGGATCAACCGCACACATCATACTTCTTGGATTAAATACTTGATAAATCAGTTCATTAACAGTTAACGCTTGGTAAGATATTCCACGACGACTAGATAACGGGGCAAAAGCAGGAATAAAAAAATGTAAACGTGGAAATGGAACCATATTTACAGCCAATCTAAAAGATATAATGGGAAAAAAAAGAATTTATTGTTGTTCGATCAAAACGATACACACTTTCTTAAATCGGCATTCAATTGACCTACAAGAAGAAGTATAAGAATAAACTAATTACTATTGAGCTTGAATAAACACAAATAATTAGCAATTAACCTGGAAATCTTAAACATGTTGTTACACCGGAAATTGTTCCCGCTATAAGATGGTTTAAATCTCCCATCGTTGGATTTGCAATTTTTAATGCTCGAATACTAATGTCATATAATGCTTCATTATCCAAACAAATTAACATATCGGTATTGTCAATATGATATTGTGATGCTAATAATGCATTGTAGGGTTCGACAATTGATTCAGATACTAAAATTACATGCTAGACAAGAGAAAGTTTTAACGAAATAAATGAATGTATTACCTTTTGGTGATGGAAACACACCTACGAATAGCAATCTTAATATAACTCTAAACTAAAGAGGAAACGACAACTTACTATAACCGATAATCATACGATCAGGATATTCTTCTCTTAATCGATTCAATAATAAACTTCCTAATCCTGAACCTGATCCGCCTCCAACTAGAGAATAAAAGAGGACAGATTGCTTCAACTGATCCACCTCATTTGAATAACTTACTCGATTGTAAAAGTTGAAATCCCTTTAAACAGAAAAGCAATTATTAAAATTCAGAATGATAGGTATAGACAAGTGATTTATTTTACCTGCATACAATCAGTTGTTTCCACTTCTCTACGAACAACTTCCAGAATATAGTCAACTCTAAAATATATACGAATATCATGGGCTATACTGGACATGGCACACTAATACAAAGGTGATCATTGAAGACGATCGCGCTAAAGACGTATAACCTACGTTTCGGCACCTTCTGAATAGTAACCTGAAAAGAAATGACGTGACTAGCAATTTGTACATAAAGAATCAGCATCCACCTTTTGCCCAATTGTTTCCGGCTCCACCGCTGCCAAAAATGAAATTATCAGGACGAAATATTTGTCCATAACGGCTTGCTCGGATAGCATCCAACGTTCCTGATTCTAAATCGCTCAAGATGGCTCTTGGTACATACTTTCCTCCTATTTAACATGAAAAAAATTCATCAACATTGGTAGGTTTTGAGTAAAATATGATTTTCAGATACCTGTTCCTTCATTAAAATAAACATTGATTCTTTCCAATTGTAAATCAGAATCTCCCTGATAGATTCCTGTGGGTGTAAGCCCATGCTCGCCAGCAATCACTTCCCAAAACTAAAAAAACGAAGTTGAATATGATACAATTTTTAGCTAATGAGGGAAGGTTCCAACTGTTGGCCACATAAAGACCTCGATGACACTAGAAAAAGTTAAAAATATTTCGTGCACACCGTCCCTCTTTGTCGAAATACCGAATTTTTACTTTCTGCATAACAAAAACTAATGTTTGATCGATTCTTTTTCTTTTTCATCCCCGATAAGACGTTGAGCAACCCAAACGATTTCACAAATAGATCCGAGTATTGGATAGTTGTACAAAAAGTTTCAGCCCACTGGACTCTAAAGAAAAAATTAGTACCTATTCTAACGAGGGAACCTTTCAAGATGTCCCCTTCCGATTCCAATGATTTGCACATGGATCGATAGACCTCAAGAAGGTAGAAAATAGATCTTGAGTTATTGAATTTGTCGTTCGTATAGGTGGCGAAAGGAATTTTCACTCTTTTGTTTTCACATAAACTTGGCTACACATACAACACACATAAAGGATCTGACAGTTCGACTAATGAATACGATAGCTAACAAAGAAGTGTTTGAAGCAGATAGCTTGTTGACACCAACTGCAGGCGATGAAGGGGAGGTTTTGTGTTAACATGAGCTCTTATCAAGAATAAAACAGACTTGATGAACGTTTTCGAAGTAGCCGGGATGCTGAGTGACATAGCCGATGCCAAACCAGGCGTATCTGGTAAGGTCTTGAAACATTCCTGAAGAGAGAGACCGTAAGAAGGCGTGTCTGACCACATCTTTTAACCTTCACAACGCACGAACATGAGCGTTGTATGCGTAGCCTCTTATGGGGCTAAAATGGTGAAACTCCTCTACATTAGCAGAAAGATGGTATTGGGAATAGGGTACATTAACACAGCGGAGCAACGAAAATTGCAACGGCCTTTTAAGATGAATACACTACTCTTTCAAGAGGGATACACCACCCTGTTAAGATGAATATACCTTCTGAATAAAATAATTACACTACCCTATTGAGAGGAATACACCACCCTTTTAAGATGAATACACCCCGAGAAGGGGAAGGTTAAAAAATAGGTCAAAATCAAGACTTTTTGAGTATAAAACTTCAACTCCTTTCCTCCGCTGAAGATACTGAAGGAGTTTCACAAAATCGATAAAACATTAGTTTTTATTATGCTGCGAGTAAAAATTTGATATCTCAACAAAAAAGGACAGTGGGCACGAAATATTTTTAGTTTTCTAGTGTCATCGAGGTCTTCATGTGGTCAAAAGATGGATCAAAATCGATCCGCCAGTTGAGGACCTTCCCTCGTACGCTAAGCACTAGAGAAAAATCTGTTAGCTCTCTAATATTCAGTCTCTGCTTCTTTTCTAGATATAATCAACAATTACCTACTTTCGCATTGATTTGATTTCCACACTGTCCGACTGCAATGGAAATGATTTCTCTCATTATTCATTTAAGTGAAACATCCATTGATTAAGAAGAACATTCTGTCAACTGTCTCGATTTCTCCTTTTTGAAATTGAATGCGTCTACTGCAGACGTGATATAATTCAAAACTTCCATATATGCAGCCATGCTTTGAATTATCATTCTTCCACATGTGCGACATTGGTATTTAAACAACATAACAAGAAAGATAATCATCTCTACATTCAATGTTATCGTTGACTTCTTTTGGTCAAAACATAAAATAACTTAATTAGCTGAGAAGTCAATAATTTCCGTTTTGTGAACAGATAAAATACATTCCACATAGAGCAATTATTTATCGATTTTCAAATACAACCAAAAAAGACTTTCTGACAAATTCGGGAGCTGTACAAATACCTGACACCGTTTTTCGTTTCCCATATCGAGCTAAAGAAAATCCTGCTTTGAGGTCTTTCTGAGCTGTTTAGTCATACTGCATTAGAGTTTATCAAGTAGATAGGGTAAGTATAATATCGCTTAATAAAGGAAAGAGAATTAATTAATTTATCAACAAAATGGTTCATAGTAATATAATAGAAAGAATTATATGTATAAACTATTTTACATGTTCGATTGACATTTCACATTCCATATGTTCCAAATACTCATATCGTTCATTTTTTCTTTTTATAACAGACAAGATGCTGACTTGTTGATGTAAAAATGTTATAGTATCCCATACACGTTTGATCGTATTTCAATAAGACTAAACATTAAGAGACTTTTCTATCTATCACATTCGTCGAAATTTCTTTTTTAACGTTAATTAATACAATTAAGTGCTTTATAAGCGAGATAATTCAATTTAACGTTATAAACGTATTTTATTTACCGGTGGCCAGGTCATACAACACAGTCATTGTTTTTGTTTTTAATAAACAGGACATATCTATCCTCAGCAATGCACACCGCACGTTTTGGTTCGCTTAAGCCACGTTCACACACACATTTTAACTTAGTTTAATCCTAACCTTTCCAATCTTGTCCCGTGTGAACGCACTCAGTTTGGCAATTTGCCAACTTGGTTAAGTTAACCAAGTTTATAGAACTCGGTTAAGGATTCTCTATTAAACATCGATCAATCAGTGATCAGCTACATCTTCTACACATGCGTTGTGGTCAAATAACTTTTACACATATGCAGTTCGAAGCGCATTTGTAGCATTCATACAGCATTCCGCAAATTATTCGAGAAGATAATTTTCAGTATTTTCACATTAGTCAATCCCCAGGAGCGTCTGAACGATGTCATTTCGAACTCGGTTAGGATTTGGATTAAACTAAGTTAAAAAGTGTCGTGTGAACGTGGCTTTATATGTTTGACAATAAAACTAGTGTTATACACAAACTCATAAGTTGTTTATTTGTCACAAACAGAAGCACTACGAAAGATTGTTGCCAGTTCACAACTAGCTGCACATAGATCATTAGAACACATTACCGTAGAAATACAATTAAAATAATTAGTAAGTAACGTTGGTTATTATCAAACGTACATTGAAAAATGCAACCATATAGATTATTACATAGTTGCCTTTGTAGTTATTTGGTCTGCATATCAAAAAGACATGACTATGTTTGACATACATACAGGTTTCACTGATAGCAGCAATTTGGATTCGATGCTTCTTGAATTGTTTAATTATAAGTTCTTTCTTTGACTGTTTAACACAAGAACGAACGTTCCATCCACCAAAGAACACATGGTACTGTGCATTGGCACTGTTGTTTTTCTTCTTTTCAATATCAGTGGATGGATCGGAAAGATTGATAGCGCCGAAGAAACAAAAGCCTACAAAATAGGCTCTGTTTTTTTGGCAATCTCTAACTCTTCGCCTGTTTTTCTGGTTGCCCTGGGGTTACACAGGAATTTTCCAGCGTTTTTTATATATGGGATTCCAAAAATGCCTTGGAGGCTGCGGTTCCCCTCTGACAAATCGTATTTCCGCAAAGCGGAAACAGTAATCCGACACTTCGCCAATCCTGCACGCCTGCACTCCCACGATACTTCCATGGCACTATCGCGCTTCCATGCAATGCTGGAGTCTGCTGTTATCCGCTTGGTTTAAACACACTTTTCAGTTTTACCCATGTTTTCGCTTGAAAAGTTCTACCAAACATTTTTTAGAGTTTGTGTATTTATGGTAAATTTTCTGAATGTATTTTCAGTCATTCGATGGCAAAACAACTAATGATTTCAAGTTTTTGGATATGAAATGTAGTTGCTAAGATTAAATAACGTGGTCAATTTGATGATTTGAAACGGTCGGGTTGTCTTAAAAGTTTCTGACAACAACGAACAAGAATTCAAGCGACCTGTCTAAAGCAATCACCAATGAAATAGAATGAAAATCATATTCAATTTGAAAAGTAGTCTAACGATACTAGTGGGATAGAAGATGTTATACAGATATCTGAAAAAACTTGGATATGAACATCCTCTCACGATTAAAAAACACTGCCTGAGTACCAAACATAGAAGAATCCCTGTTGAATGGTACAAACAGCGTCAATAGTAGAAAAACTTGATTTTCAGCGATGAATTCATATATTCTGCAAGAACCAAGTAAAAGTCTGACGAATAATTGCTAATCGAATGTGTTCAACATATGAACAAATGATAAAGAGGAGATAGCCTGAATGTGAGTTGGTAGATCAGACGATGACGTGTGTTTTCGCTGACAGTATCAATGGGACAATGCACTTATGAAAAAATCTTCCGAGGTGATAAATCACTTCTAAAGTGACAGTATCTTTAATCGTTCGGGCTTTGTGAACAGTAAAACAGTGGCTCGATTTTAGGGGTCTTTCTTGTCGATTTATGTCTATTTTACTGTGTTTCTGATTGTGGCTAGGTGGAAGACATTGGCGGGATTAGTTCCGGCCCCATGGGGCACGAACTGGGACTAGGTCAGAACACAAATACAACAACCCCGCTTCCGTGAAAGTGATGCCCGATTTTCTCCAGATATCGAATTTAATCTCAATCTAATCATTACAGTCACATAAAAAGGGATCATTCTTCAATCCAGAATGCAGAACCATTCTCCTCGTCTATTTTCAGTTGATCATCGAACTGGTCTGTTTTTTCTCTTTACGCATCACTTTTTGTAATCTATTGTCTATTTTAATTGTGTTCGATGAAGATGAATATTATGGTCATTTCTTATCTTTCCGGTTATCGTATGACACATTTTTGTGAAAAGCACGATTTCACTCTCACACCCTCACCCCTCACCTACTAAATATTAAACGTTATTTGACGATGCAAAAGCTGATTTATTCAGATTAACTGGTGCCTCTTATCAAAGTGACGACACATGTTTTATTTGTGATTCAAGGAAAGAACAGCGGTTTTCTTTTGTTTGCCTAGATAAGCAGTGTAAGAAACTGAATCATTTGTCGCGGTTATCTTTTGTAGTATATAAAATACCAGCTAGCTCCCTCAATTTCAGTCACAAAATGACGTTTCTTACCATTCTACTGCTGTTCACTGTTGCTGTCACCTGTTTTGCCGATACCACAGTCTATCGTGGTACAGCATGCGGTTGGGCGGATCCATCTAGTACCACTCCAGTCTTATGCAATGGATTTAATCCGCGACGTGGATGTCCCCCAGGTCATTCGCAACAAGTATTCAAAGATGGCGTTGCTTATTGCTACAAAACCAATACAACTACTGAAAAAGAAGGTTCGATACTTGGCACACTCTGTGGTGGTCTAGCACGTGCTCTATGTGGTGGATTCAGTCCTAATGAGAAGTGTCCGCCAGGCTACACCCAAGTTGATCAGTGGATATGTTCCAAAAGTGATCCAGAGATGGAGGATGTGTCGGGAACCGTTTGCGGAGTGGTTAGTGATTTTGTGGGACAGACGTGTGATGGGTTGCCATTGAGAACATGTCCAGATGGGTACTATCCGGTTGATTTCGAAAAAGAGTGGGACTGGCACGCTTGTTTTAAAAAATAGATAATCTATTTTCGTTTATTTTTTAATTCACGAATAAAATGTGGCATCTGTAATATCATTTCGAGAACGACAGAGCACATTTGATATTATGGAGAAGTCCATACATAATATATAAGATGATATTTATCCCATAAAAAAATGACATAATTGTGACTACATTATGATACAATAAATGAGATAAATATGGGAGAGATATGATTTAAAAATGAGCCATATATGGCACATAAATGAGTCATTCATGGCTCATTTTTTATCT